GTAATTCCAGCTACTCGGAAGGCTGAGGCGGAAGGATCACTGGAGCCCCGCAGGTCGAGGCTGCGGTGACTGGGAGCGACCACTGCACTCCAGTCTGGGCGACAGAGTGAGACTCCAACTGAAATAATAATAATAATAATAATCATTCAGAAAATGTGATTTCAACAATGTAAAATGCATAGCAATATAATCAGAAGGAAATATAATAATAGATTTAAAATGATTGCTTCTAATGGATGGGATTATAATTATCTGTTTTGTTTATATCCTTACAAAATTATCTATTTTCTGCAAGTTCTCATTTGACTGCATCATGTGAACACCAGATAAAAGAAGTGATACCTATTTTCTAAATAAGGACCTATTTTCTAACATCAGGTAAAAAATTGCTAAAAACGTACAAATTAATCCTGATTTCAGTTACCTTCATCCTGCCCCTGTTTCTGTAATTTCACCATTGTTTCTAAGAATAGTCACAACTGAGTTTGTGTACAAAGTAACTTCCATGTAGTTTAAAGAGGAGGAGGTCCTTAGTGGCTATCACAAACCTGCTATTTCAGTGGGTTTCAGTGTTAGGATTCAATCTAAATTGAGTGAGCATGGTGTTAAACATGTTCAAAAGGAAACATGTCTTCCAGGCAACTACTCTGGAAATTATGCAAAACAGATGCTTGCCTAGAATCCAGAAGATTGGTTCCATTTTTGCTGTCCATTATTGGCACCATTTTACTTAGCAGCAAAACCGGTTTTAATTTTTGGAAGATGGGCTCCTTATAGTACAGACTTCCCCTACTAGGTAAATGTTCTAGGAAACCATTGGCATCAGAGTACCAGTCAGTGATGTTGTAAGAAGCTGCTGTATTCAGGTTCAGAGATTTTTTTTTTTTTTTTTTTTTTTTTGCAATTCTTCCAACACATTTGCCCATTTCATGATGGGAGATTTACGATCTCACCTGCCCATCCCACGCTGAGTGTTCAGCAGTTCATGACCAAAAATGGTACAACCTCCGTGCCCCACCCCCTCAATTTACCTGATTTCATCCCAAGTGACTTCTTTGTTTTCTCCAATGAAAAAGTTCTCAAGGGGAAAGGTTTTGCCAGTGTGAAGGAGGAGAAACAAAAATTGTCAGAAGCACTAAAAGGTATCAAAGTTGATGAGTTCAAAAACTGTTTTGAGTAGTGGAAAAAGCATCTCATTAGGTGTATTACATTAAAAGAAGAGTGCTTTGAATGTGACTGAGGTTTAAACATGTAAGAATAAATACACAACTATATATATAATATATAACATATATATATAATGGAATATATATAAATTCTATTTTGGGGAGTACCCTCTTATAAATCCTGGTATTCATAACCATTATTAAGATACAATTATACTTTCATTCAGTGGAAAAGTGGATTATGAATACAACCTTGGTGTCTTAGTCAGCTTGGGCTACCATAGACTGGGTGTCTTAAGCAACAAAAATTTATTTCTCACAGCTCTAGAGACGGAGATCAGAATGTTAATATGGTCTGATTCTAGTGAAGGCCTTCTTTCTAGTTTTATCCCCACATGATGGAAAGAGGACTGGCTGGCTCTCTGGCCTTGTCTTATAGGGACACTAATCTCTCTGAGGGTTCCACATGACTCAATTACCTCAAAACAGTCCCACCTCCAAATATAATTAAGTATTAGGGTTTCAACATTTGAATTTTCGGGGGCCACAACAATTTAGCCCATTTTAATTGGTAACACATGCTTGTCTTACACCCCAATATTTGACTTTCATAATTTCAAAGATTTTTTTTCTTTATCAATACTTTAAAGTGTGTTCATTCTACTATAGAGTCTATGGAGGGGACATTTCATAGAGACAATGGCAACACATTCTATGGTGTCAAACTTTTCAAATTGCTCTTTTTACCATCTCAGTTGGATTTTACTAATTTTTTTTTCTTCTTTTTTTTTTTTTTTTTTTGGGTTAGAGTCTCACTCAGTCGCCCAGGTTGGGAGTGCAGTGGCACACTCCAGGCCACCACAGCCTCAACCTATTTGGCTCAGGCGAATCTTCCTCCTCAACCTTCCAAATAGCTGGAACTACAAGCATGCACTACCACGCCCAGTTAATTACTAATTTTTAAATATTGGAAATCTGTTAGAGTACATATGTCTCATCTTTCTCATTCTCATTACTCTTGCCTTTTAAAATGAATGTCAATGATGAAATAATGGGTTTTCTCATAACTTTGGTTTTTAAAAAATCTTCATCACTCTGATTCCTTTGTTTTCTTTCTTTGGAAATGTATTAAGAACAATTCCCTTGCAAGAGACTTTCCTTGGTATGAAGCAGTGTTAGGTTTCCTGCTGTATGACATAGTGTGTTTTTGTCCCAGGAGAAATTTTCAAGAGATGCTCTCTTGAATCAGGCCACTATTTCAATTTATTTTTAATGATATTTGTCTTTTAATTGTCTGACAGGATTGCATCAAAGATAAGAGTTCTGATACATTTAAGGAGAATGGGAAAAAAAATAAGAAACGATGAGATGTATACAGTTACATTCTCTTTTTAATTGATGTTTTGCCTGAAATTTATTCTTTATAATACATTTTTTGAAAAAATGTTCACGATTGCTGCATTATGATTGCTGAAACTTTTAGGAAATACCATTGAAATTCTCATAATTTACCAATATAAATATTAGAAAATATGCAGCATTTTCCAAAGTGTGTCAAAGTAATACTAATTCCACAAAATCTTAAGAGAAGACTATTCTGTGATCAAATGTTTCTGAATTTCTAGATTAATAAATAAATATATTTACTGCAAGAATGTTTACCGGTTCTCAGTCTTTAGAGTGCCTTGCAATCACCTGGGAAACTTAGTAAAAATGAAGTTTCATGGAACCTACACCCAGAGATTTTAGCATATTAGGTCAGAATGAAATTGAGTATGTACATTTTTAACAAATGTTTTTGATGCAAGTGGTAAGGAAATATTGTCCTGGGAACTTAATATTTTAATATTCCCCATAATTTTTATAAATCTTAAGAGACAGTTATACAATGTGTAGCCCTTCCTTAATATTCATCTGGTGTTCTTGGGGAAAGAGTTTAAAAATTGCTGGGACACAAAGTTGTTTTGGAACCTCTTTCCACAAGAGTTTAAATAATAGAGGTAGCATCAACTAACTTCTTTGTGACTAACATTTCATTTATTTGTAAGGTTCACCTGAAATTTGGGATAAAAGCCAATTGTAATAAGAGAATGCAGTTCAAGTATAAGCTAAGAGACAAAGTGTTTTCTTGATGAATAGCCCAGTTTCCACTTGTCCATAGTTATCTTATTCAAGAACACATACACAGTCTTAAAATTAAATTATGCAAGAAGAATAACTTAAATTAAGAAACACATCTCATTTTAGAACAAGGTCTTTAAAAATGTATGCATAAAAATGTACCCATGCTGAGCTATTCCATATGTTTATTTATCCTTTAAACCTTATTATTAAATTCCACAAAAAGAAACTACTAATTTCCTCAAAAATATTTATTAACGATAATCTCTCCTACAAAAGTTTTCTTCTTCCTTATTGTATGAACATGAGTCTTGAACATTTTATCTAAATTTCTTTTTCTTTTTTTTTATTTTGAGTTGGAGTCTCACTCTGTCGCCCATACTGGAGTGCAGTGGCTGCTCCCAGCCACAGCAGCCTCGACCTGCTGGGTTCTGGCAATCCTTCCGCCTCAGCCTTCCAAGTAGCTGGAATTACAGGCGCGCGCTACCACACCCAGCTAATTTTTTAATTTATTGTAGAGATGAGGTCTCACCAAGTTGCCCAGGTGGGTCTTGAACCTGGGGGCTCAGGCAATTCACTCACCTCAGCCTCCCAAGGCGCGGGATTACAGGCTGAGCTACTGAGCCTGGCTTACCTAAATTTTCAACTCGAATATACGTGTACAATTTTAATGCACTTAAATTTTCAAGCCATTTCTTTTTTGATTTTTGTTCCAAAGTAAAAATGGCCTATGTGTTGTAGTGGATATTTCAAAATCAACCAAGAAAATCTCAGTTATAATAGTCCACATTTTCTAATTTTTCTTTTTTTAAATCATATCAAGAATGGCTTGGCCTATGTCTGCTACCTTTTAGAAATGGCAAATTCCACTTTTAGCATTTTCCTTTTTACTCAAAGGTGTTTCCTATTCGTTTTTGCCTCTTCTTCACATTAAAAGGGGCCAAGCCATTTTACTATTATTTAGTCATCCTGCAACTTCCCAGGTAGAGGTTCTAGATGGGGTCAACCTCATATTTTTTCTCAAGCTCACCTTCCCACACATACTTTAAACATAGCAAATTTGGGACTATATTTTTAAAACATTAAGAACAATATTTTGGCATCACAGTTGGCACTAAAATTAGATCTTTTTTATGCAAAAGACAACCTAGTAAAAAATGAAATAAAAAACCTAAAGGGAACCCGATATATAAAACAGGAACAGGAAGCCCAGAATCTAACCCATTTGATTGGTCACCTTACTTGGCTCCACTGACATCACCACATGTGGCCATTAACTACTTGGAGAGCTGAATGGAAACAGTGATTAGATAATTGTTTATTTATAAATTTGAGTAGTTGTTGTAATTGGCAAGTAGATACATGTAGCCTTGATGCAAGGTATAAAAATCACAGAATGTTCCCAACGAACAATTAAGGAAAAAATTAAGTACTACACATAAACTATGTGTAGTTAATAGATCACAGTGTGGAGGAATATAGGTAGGAAAGAATTTTGTGCTGCACGTTCATTTAACACAGAAGAACTAAGGAGACGGGTAGTTTATTGTTGACTTCCTGGGTTGGAAAATATAATTAAAAACAAAATCTCCCAAACCAGAAAACTTCCCCACAAAGATAAAAATGAAGAAAACCATTTTATTACTGAATAAACATTAAACCAGAATGTGATGCACATAATAGTCAATCCGCTATGAGGTTGTAAAAACAGAAAGCAATCTCGTTTAAATTATACAAAATGATAACTATTGCATTTATTATATACTCCAGTGTCAGAGTTTACTGATCACTGAAATGGGTTTTGATGAAAATTATAAAGAAGCCTTTTAGAAGACACTGATTCCTGAGCTCCAAAAAGTTATTTCTTTTTAAAAAATTTTTTATTATAAAGATATGGGGTACAATTCAGGGTTAGGTATACAAACATTGATTATACAAGTACCCTTGTTGATGAGGTTTACCCCTCCCTCCCCTAGTAGTTTCCCTCAACTGCCAATCCCACCCCTCAACTGCCAAGTTATTTCTTGTGTAGCCAAGCAGATACAGCCTATTGCATAAGTGTTCTCAAAATAAACAATAGCTAGTCCTTAAGTAAGAGGACTTGAGAATAACCTTTATCACACATAGTGCATCCTAGATTCACCTGGTAGTTGGAGTGCTGATTGACTTTACACAAAGATAAATGCTCTCATAGTTTTATGACAGTAGATAGTTTTCCAACTTGGAGAGGGCATCCACCAAAGTTAGCCTGCTACTACTCCCACAGAAACTAGGACAAGGGTGTGCTATCTCCCTTGATATTTACATTTCAAAGAGATGGCTCCCAGATCCTGACAAAAGGTCCATTTCATTTTCCAAAGGGTCGTATACATTTCAAAGAGAGAAGAAAGTACTTATAATGCCAAGTTTTCTCAAGTATATTCATCTTGTATGACTCTCTTTCACCATTTGTCTTATTTCTCCCAAAGAATTTTATAATACTTTTTTTGTTTAAGAGAAATATTTCAGACTATGAGTAATAAAGATACAGGCTAGTGTTTATTCCAAATGCCAGCCCTCACCATATGGTTTATACTATTCCCTATCAAATACACTCCTGAGCATTACAGTTGCAAATTTTGTCTCTCTTAATCATGTTCTCAGATATTTTTTGATATTTAAAATTATTTATTTTAAGACCAATTTTTTCATTTGCAGTTTTTAAAAATCACACTGTAGTATTTATTAAATGCAAAGTGCTCTCTGGCATCTAAATAGAACTGCAACTGTGAATTAAACAAAGACTATTCATTAATTTATCAGCCATCTGAGTGCTCATTATTTATCAAGCAACATGCCAAGCATGCTCCAGGCATACAAGGTCAAATAAAATAAAACTAACTACTGTCTTTGAAAAATCCTTATGACAGTTGAACAGAAGATGGTCGGTGAACAGTTATCTAACATTGGGGTAATTGGTGCAAGACAATCTACGTAAAATTAGTTCAGAAAAAAGCTGAGTTAACGGTTCAATAGGGATTGAATAATGTGTGCACAAAAAAAGTTTGTGTACATTTGAAGAAATGAGGGGGAAAGATATTTAAAACTTGAGTTTAGGATAGATGGAGTGAGACCCAAAAGTCCATATTTAAATTTAGTTTTGGAGCCAGGCTGGGTGGCTCAGCCTGTAATCCCACGCCTTGGGAGGCTGAGGTGGTGAGTGGATTGCCTGAGATTGCGGGTTCAAGACCCGCCTGGGCAACTTGGTGAGATCTCATCTCTACAATAAATCAAAAAATTAGCCGGGCGTGGTAGCCCACACCTGTAGTTCCAGCTACTTGCAAGGCTGAGGCGGAAGGATCGCCGGAGCCCAGCAGGTCGAGGCTGCGGTGGCCAGGAGCGGCCACTGCACTCCAGTCTGGGTGACAGTGAGAATCCAACTCAAAAAAAAGAAAAAAAAATTAGTTTTGGACTATGGAAGGGACGACTTTAAAATTATTTTTTGGCAGTATGATCGGAGATTGCAATGAAATATGGTATGTCCAAAAGTTTTCAAGTTTTCTAAATGCTAATAGCATAGAACTAAATATCAATTTTCCTGACTTGCAGTTCTGTTTTCCAAGTATCACACCAAGGAGAAGTTTCCTGATCCTCTATAATTACAATGGGTTTTGTTGGTGGGGATAAAGAGGCATTTTAGGAGACCCAGAAGACTAAATTTCTGGGGTCCAAGATGAGGATGTAGAGAAAAATCACTTAGGAGATGAATTAACTTCTTTTTTTTTTTTTTTTGAGTTGGAGTCACTCCGTCGCCCAGACTGGAGGGCAGTGGCCGCTCCCGGCTACCGCAGCCTCGACTGGCTGGGCTCCGCAATCCTTCCGCCTCAGCCTTCCAAGTAGCTGGAACTACAGGCGCAAGCTACCGTGCCCGGCTAATTTTTGATATATTGTAGAGATGAGGTCTCGCCAAGTTGCCCAGGCAGGTCTCGAACCCGTGGGCTCAGGCAATCCATTCACCTCAGCCTCCCAAAGTGCTGAGATTACAGGTTGAGCCACCGAGCCCGGTTGAATTAACTTCTATCACCAGAATTTTTAGTTTCTTTAATTAAGAAGGGCTATGCCACTACTTAAAACACTCAACATCTTCCACATTGCTCTTCATCCCAAAACTGTAGCATTAGTTGTTAAGGTCCCTCATCATCTGGGTCATGTTTACCATCTTCCATCTCTTTTATCACTATCCTCAACCTTCAGTATGCTCTGTAGCTACCACCAAACTAGTTGCAGCTCTTTGAATCTGATAATGCTTGGTCTTGCCCCCATAGCCATCGCATATGCTGCTGCTACCTCTGTCTAGAATTACATGTGCAACCACTTTACCCAAAGTACTTGTGTGGGATCCTCTACAGATGACATGGCCTCTGCAAGGAATTGCCTGTCTCCTTTCTCCTTCCCCTGTAAAACCCAGGACCCCCCTTCCTGCTTCCTTCCACAGCACTTCGTTTTCCTCCATAGTTACACGTTCCTGTGACTGATCAGTTGCCTCCTCAACTATCAAGGAAGCCCCTTGAGAGCACAAATCCTCTTAATTTTTAGTGGTTATACCTTACCACTCCTTGGCAAATCAGAATTATTTGTTCCATATATGTTTAGATGAACATTTGGATAGATGAATGGATGGATGGATGACTTTATATAAAATGTAAGCAAATAATCTAGTTAGTATGCTTTGAGTGACAGAAGACAGATTTTCCAAAAAAAAAGTTAAAAATATGTTCAAAAGGGGTCTATTGATGTATTAATGTGTTCTTGGTTATTAGTTACTTATATTCTGAAATTAAAACCAAGTAAATGTTATGTTCATATTATACTGGGTCACTTCAAACACCTCAAGTTTCTTCAGCATATGGAATTGTGGCATGGAAATGTTCACTATGATAGAATGTTGTCTCTTACGGTATCATTTTCTTTTTTCTGTGACTTTCTTCAACCAATCTCTATTATTTTTCAGGAAAAAATGCTATTACACCGATGGGAGGAACAAATCAATGGGCAGGTTGGTGGGTGATGCATAATTTCTTTACAACCAATTTGTCATTTGGAAAAACAAAAACAAAAAGCAAGACCTTCGATTACTCATATTTGCAGTTGTAAATTTTAAGAAGAAAAATTATATTGATTTACTAAAGAGATTTCCAAAATAGCTTATGCCAAGTTGAAGACACTTAGAATCAGATCATCTCTTTGTTAATGGTCACCATTACCATTCTTGGAATCCTCCCATAATGCAGTGCTATGGAAGGATGATTTTATTTGCAAGTTAGCACCTTCATATATTTAATTTTATTTATTTATTATTTATTTAGAGGTGGTCTTGCCCCCATAGCCATCGCCCAGGCTCTGTCGCCCAGGCCAGAGTGCAGTGACACGCTCATGGCCACCACAGCCTTGACCTGCTGGGCTCAGGTGATCCTTCTGCCTCAGCTTTCCAAGTAGCTGGAACTACAGGCGTGCGCCACCATGTCCAGCTAATTTTTCTTGATTTATTGTAGAGATGAGGTCCCACCAAGTTGTCCAGGCTGGTCTTGAACCTGTGGGCTCAGATAATCTTCTCACCTCGGCCTCCCAAAGTGCTGGAATAATAGGCGTGAATCATCGCGCCTGGCTGATATGCTTAATTTTTAAAATAGTTTTAAAACCAAGATTGATGGGTAACTGATGACCCACTAGAGTGTGGAACAATGGACCCTGCAAAAACCTTCTGGATTATTCGATCCAATTCTCTCTTTAAATAGAAATGGTAGTGACTAGTGTCCAGAGAGATGGAATGGTTTGCCAGGGTCATGCAACATTTTCTGAATTGCAGACCTACTTTTATTCTACCACAAAGGCTGCTGCTCTTATCCTAGTCTTGAAAATGAACTTTTTTTCAAGAGAGCATTATCTCAAAACCTCATGTTTTTACCTTTTACTGTAAGAGTAGCTATGGAATGGGGATTAGCCAAACAACAACCCTGAGACAAAAGGAACTCTTCCATCTGAATTACCTTAGCACTGTTTAACTGGGGGAAATGAGCTTCCACTTAATAAACATTCAAACAGAAGGCTTCTTACACTTGGCTGTTTTCCTGCTCTTTGTAAATGAATCAATTAACAAAGACAAAACATGGAAGTGTGGTAGGATGTGCTCTATTGAATAACGTTGCAGGTTATTACAAGTCAGAATAACACAAGCCAGAAAGACTACATAATATGAATAACAGATTATTATAAGAAAGGATTCAATAAATTTAGTTTAGTTTTGTTTTTTTAACCAAAAAATATATAATTTTGAATGCTGTAAATCAGAGCAAGAGAATTCTGATCTCTTTCAAATATTAAATTGAGGTATGGCCACGTTGGGTGGCAAGAAAAGTTAATTATAAATTAAAAATACTTGAAATTAGAATGAATATTAAAGGAACTAGTACTAAAATGACATGTTTTAATAAAATTATAATGCTTCCCAGTCAAGTTCAACTTTTATGTCAGGTTAACGTGCTGCCATTTAGAACGAGCTCTCCTCATTCTCATGTGGTTATTTGGTCATGGTCTATGTTGCAAATTTCCAAAGTAATTTTTGCACAACAAAATCAAAGTCATTGGATTATTGTGATATATAAATTTACAACTGCAGATTTTTCTTGTTTTGCTCTGTGTGCCTGCTCGATGTTGGATGGTTGATAAAATCTCTTAGGTTGGCTTCAGTGTGCTATTATGGAATTAGTGAGACTTTGTTACACCATAATTAGTGGGTTTTCTATTAAACAAGAATCTTTCTTTCACAGACTTGCTGAAGGACAAAATCGCCTGTGTTAAAATTGCAACAAATGTCGATTTTTATAAAACTATCAGAATTTAGTTTTAGAGTAAGCCTGTGTTTAGAATGCATAACAAATATGTGTATACTAAATTTTAAACTATATTTTTAATAATGAAAAAATGTTCTTTTTTATTTTAGTCAAACTTAGTAAACTAGAAAGATGAACATTGTTTTATGTGTCATAATAAGTTTTGCTATCTTTTATGTTTAGTATTATTTTCTGTTTAAGTTCATGAAATAAAAATTCAGATACAGCAAATGATTATTAAAGTATCTCAAACCTTACACTAGCCTACTCTTTTGCATTTTACTTATTAAAATGTGTTCTTTCTGTTTCTTGTATTTTGTGAATGCCTGTGGGGAGAGTTAGGAAATAAATGGTAAAGAAGTTTATAAAATTATGTGACATATTAAACAGAAAAAGAATTGTAAAAATGATAAAACTTATTCTGTAGACATTTTGGAAAGTAGTAAATTGAAATCAATTGTAAACATGCTCATTTAGTTTTCCTTACACTCTTTATTTATTGAAGTGGAAAAGATGATTTTTGCATGGTTAATTTTGACCACTAAATATTAAAGTATAAAAAACTTACTGGAAATTATTCGACTTTTAAAGATCATCACCTCTTGAGAGGAAATGGTTCGTTTTATTGTCGCTGCAATTTATCTTTTATTTACAAATAATTTTTTTTTTTTTTTTTTTTTGAGTTGGAGTCTCACTCTGTCACCCAGACTGGAGTGCAGTGGCCGCTCCCGGCAACCGCAGCCTCGACCTGCTGGACTCCGGTGATCCTTCCGACTCAGCCTTCTAAGTAGCTGGAACTACAGGCGCGCGCTACCACGCCCAGCTGATTTTTTGATTTATTGCAGAGATGAGGTCTCACCTGCCCAGGCAGGTCTTGAACCTGCGGGCTCAGGCAATCCACTCACCTCAGCCTCCCAAAGGCGCGGGATTACAGGCTGAGTCACCGAGCCAGTTTACAAAGCATTTTCACATTTAATTATCAAAGTATCTTCAAAAGGACCCTTCAAAGGAAGCAGAACACAGAATAGCCAGTTTTGCAAATTAAAAAAAAAAATGACACCTGTACCCTCCCAAGCCCCGCCCTACTTTCACAACTGGTTTGGCAGAGTTTGTACTTTAATCAAGTTACTTTGACCCTTTAGTCCAGATTTATTTTCAATATTCTTTTTTTTTTTTTTTTTTTTTTTTTTTGAGTTGGAGTCTCACTCTGTCGCTCCCGGCCACCGCAGCCTGGACCTGCTGGGCTCAGGCCCGGAATTACAGGCGCACGCTACCACGCCCGGCTGATTTTTTGATTTATTGTAGAGATGAGGTCTCACTGCCCAGGCGGGTGTCGAACCCACGGACTCAGGCAATCCACTCACCTCAGCCTCCCAAAGGCGCGGGATTCCAGGCTGAGCCACCGAACCCGGGTCCATGTATTATTTTTTAATTTACATTTATCCCCAGTTTGTAGATGTTGTCAGAGCTAGTAGAGTCTTAGGTGCTGGGGCTCATTAGCATTTTCTAAGTGTAATCAGAGCATCTTTATTTGATCCTCTTAGTCACTTAATGAAGAAGGACAGATGGAATTACTCCTCTCTTTAGAAAGAGGAAACTGACACTCAAAGACTGGAAATGTTTTTGGGGTTTTTTTGAGTTGGAGTCTCACTCTGTCACCCAGACTGGAGTGCAGTGGCTGCTCCTGGCCAACGCAGCCTCCACTTGCTGGGCTCTGCCTCAGCCTTCCAAGTAGATGGAACGTGCGCTACCTCGCCCGGCTGATTTTTTTATTTATTGTAGAGATGAAGTCTCGCCAAGTTGCTCACGCGGGTCTCAAACCCGCGGGCTCAGGCAATTCACTCACCTCAGCTTCCCAAGGCGCAGGATTACAGGCTGAGCCACCCAGCCCGGCTAGGACTGGAAATGTTTAGACCAACTCAGTGACTGGCAAATTCAGCATTAAGACACTTGTCCTCCAACTCCTAGCCAATGAATTTTTTCCAGCTATGCTAAGTTTTGAAAGCTAGAGTAATTGGTATAATTGATTCAATGTATCCTACATGTCAAAGCACTGGCCTCTGTGATATGGGAATGTTTTGTGGTTTTAGAGTTTATCTTTATAACGAAAAGAGGCAAAATGATCACCTCAGATTCTAACTCATCATTTTAACCTAGAAAATAGTATTTTATTCCCTCCAAAACCAAAAATGATTTGGTATCTAAATGATAATCCTAATTGTCGAGGGAAAACTCCAGACATTCACATGATAAACTTTACATTAGAATTTGTTCTTATTTCATACAACACATGGTAATTATACCATGATAGACTTGAATGAAATAATTCCTAAGATACAATATTAACTGTCTACCCATTACTGCACTAATTATTTTTTTTTTGAAGTTCAAGCAGAGTTGATCAAATAAATACTGAGATGCTGTACTTTACCAGAAAAAATATTCTATCCAAAAAATATTCTTGGACTTATTATTGCAGAAGAAGCCAAACATTTTCCAAAACTGAGACATAGTGTGTAGCTATTGCGTGATTTATTAGTAAATGCAGCGATTTTTACAGCTACTCAGAATTTAGATTTTTAGACTAAACCTCTGGAGTCAACTTCCTTATTTTCTTTTTTATTTTTCTTTGTAAAATAAATACAATTTCAAAAAATTATTTTACTCCCTCCAAAACCAAAAATAACTTGGTATCTAAATGTTAATCTTACTTGTTGAAGGAAAACTAAAGGCATACATATGATAAACTTTACATTCGAATATAATCTTACTTCATACAATACACGGTAATTTTATCATAATAGACCTCAATGAAATAATTCCTAAGATACAATATTGACTGTCTACCTGTTACACAATAGAAGTATGTTATAAGAGTATCTAAAGCTGGGGTCAATGTATTCTGATGCACAAAGCAGTGTTTGAGTGGCATATGCCAGGAGTCTATGCTAAACCTGTTATTCATGTATAGTCAGTGGGTAGTAACATGAACCTTCCTCATGAGCTACACAGAAATGCAGAATCTCAGACCCTATCCAGGCCCACTGATTCTGCATTTTTTCAAGATATCCCGGTGATTCATGTCTTTTTGAGTCTTAAAATACTGCAAAACTCTGCGTTAACTTTCCTTATTGTTAATGATAAATTTTTAAATAAAACATTAATTTTCAACTCTTCCACAAAGTCAGCGTGATTTTTATTTTATGAATGAGGAAACAGAAGTGAGAAGTTGAATAGTTCATATGTATTCACACAGCTCATATAACGCAGAGCTCTGTTTTAACCCAGTTTCGCTTGACACTAAAATCTTGCTGTCTACCACACTTGAAACTCCCAGTGCCACTGAATGACTGTGTCACAGACATTTGTGGGTTTTTTTGTCACCACTTTTATAAAGCTATATTTTTGTTTGTTTTAATTTAGAATCAGAGAGTAATCTATATCTACATATATGTACATATAGATGTATACATACACATATACACACAAGTTTAGTAAATATATTGTGCTGCTTATTAAAATACTCTTTCTACCACCATCTTTATGCATAATGTTTCTTATATTTTTTTCTGTAAGATTTTTGTTTGTATGTTTGTTTTGTTTTGTTTTGTTTTTTATTAGGATGACATAGTTGCCCTGAAATAGTTTAAACAAATACAGGATCTGGTTTTTTTTTTGCTACTTATTTCTTTAGTTTGAGAACAGAAGTACTGCATGTGTGGATGCAGGTGTGTAATCGGTGGGTGCATGTCTTTTGGGAACTCTGTCTTTTGTTTTTACTGAGGGCATAAAACTCTGGAATACAACCTAATCTAGCTCTAAAACGTGTTCTTGTTCCAGGGTGCAAACATATTTTAGAAGAATCAAAAACTGGATGTCCCAAAACCCAATGGTTCTTGACAAGTCAGCTTTTCCAGACCTGGAGGAGTCAGACTGCTATACTGGCCCCTTCAGCCGTGCACGGATTCACCAGTGAGTCCCTACCTCTTTTCTCCTATCACCTGCCTTTATACCTTTCATTTAAGTGGGACTTGTTTGTAGAATAAAAATAACAGGGAACATTTCTATTGTTTACCAAATAGGTCAAAGAATGTATCATTGTATTAAAATACAACTTATGAATAGCTCTAAGTTAACATTATTAATTCTTTATCAACTTGATGATTTAAAGAAATTCTAGTAATGAATAATTCATTGTAAACCCATGAACTGGTAATCTAGCCCTGAATGCCTCAAAATAATTACTATGGTAGTAAGTGACTCTGTTAGTAATGTTAATAATAATAGAAGTGCTATTAATTAGTATGCTTTGATAATAGATTGTTCTCATCAATAAATAATTATAACTATAATGGTATTTAGTTAATATATTTATTAATCAAACTACTCATTTTAGTTTAACCTTATTAAACTAAAGTGAATGAGATATTTTTAGGAATAATTGCAGGACTCTCTCTCTCTCCCTGCTTCTCTGTCTATCTACATATGTGTTTATTCATGTATTCATTCAACTAGTATTCATTGAGTTTCTCCATCACACAGGTCATAGATACAAAGGGACTTATAATAGTTTCTACCTTCATGGAAAAGGTGGATAAAAGTGTAAATTTATAATTAAATTGGGTAAAAATAAAGATAGCAAACTGCAAAGTATACTAAAGACTTTGGTTGTAGTGTAATGAGGTACACCATTCTGGACACAACTATATCCTGAGATGTGAGAAGTTGAAATGAAAGATGGAGCAGAGTTCCAGACCACCATACAACATAGCCAACAATCAATGGGACCCCGCCTTTCCACATGTTCTATTTATTCCATTACTTTTTTTAGGAGGTGAGAAAGCATTCCTTCTATTTCCAACTATATGGTCTGGAGAAGGAGTGAACATCTTGCAAGTATCTTCAGCCTTCTGCTGAACTTTTTTAGGACCTTTAAGGATCTGTGGTCCTCCACAGGAAAAACATTCTGGTTTTCTTTTTAAATTCAAGATGGATGCCAGAGTAATCTTTGAAAAATATCAGTGAGATCATGGAATTGCCTTGCTTGAAACTCCCAAGTAGACTCCCAAGCGCTCTTATAATAAAATTCACATTCCTTTTCATCTAATATGTGGGCACAAATGCTGTAGTCCCCACCTATCACTACCACATCATTGTCTGCCTCTTTGGCACATCATTGACTCACTCCAACCATGCAAGCCTTGCTTCTATCCATCGAAAGCTCTAGCCTCAAGCTTAGTCCCAACTCTTCATCTTTGTTCCCTCACTTCTCCTTGCCCGACCTGCTGTCTGCCCCAAGATTTTCATATGGCATTTTCTTTCTTACAATTCAGCTCCCATTCACACATCACCACCTCAGAGATATCTGCCCAGAAAGTGTCACTTCTAATCCTCTCGTCCCAGTCATTCTGTATTTCAGTATACTGTTTCATTTTTCCTCATAGCAATTATGTCTGTACTTATTTATTTATGTGTTTATTTATGTAACAGTGGTTTCATCTCTCCATCATGTGACTCCATAAAAAAAGAAAGGAACTTATCTGCTTAATTTAGGAAGACTATCAATTTGATGATGAAAGAGGCAGGTGGACATTCCTTCTGCACCTGAATTTGGTACATCTGAGAACAAAGATAAAATGCAGAAGATCAGAATATTGAAGAAACTCAGAGTCTAATAAGACAGGCAGATGTACTAAAATTCTAAAACAAGGCTGTGTATTAGGAAAGACAAAAATAAAATGCACATTTATAAGAGAGGAGAGACACACCCAAAGGAGAGAATGTGGGAAGGCTTTTTTTTTGAGTTGGAGTCTCACTCTGTCGCCCAGACTGGAGTGCAGTGGCCGCTCCCGGCCACCACAGCGTCGCCTGCTGGGCTCTGGCGATCCTTCCGCCTCAGCCTTCCAAGCAGCTGGAACCACAGGCGTGCGCTACCATCCCCGGCTAATTTTTGATTTATTGTAGAGATGAGGTCTCGCCAAGTTGCCCAGGAGGGTCTCGAACCCTCGAACTCAGGCAATCCACTCACCTCAGCCTCCCAAAGCGCGGGATTACAGACTGAGCCACCGAGCCTGGCTGGGCAGGCCTTTTTGAAGGAAATAGTCCTTCATAGTAGGTAAATATATGGAAGAAATGTGGGGAGAAGAGGACAAACATCTCAGAAACAGAGCAAAAAAACCATAGGAAAAGAGGTATGGGATTTTAAGATGATGATAAATTATACAAATTGGCAGAAGATCAGATACAAAAAGCAAGAACAATTAGACATAAGATTGGGGAGTAGATTCAAGGACCAGTGTAGAGAATCATGGTAGAAAAGAAGGAATTTAATTATGCTCATATTGGAACGCTTCTGGCATGCTAAAAATAGAAGTGTGCTCAAAGGACCTAGACTATGCTTTGAAAGCCAGGTAAGACATTGGATGGCACGTTAAGGAGGATACTTCTCATGGTCTAGACAAGAGACAGTGAGTCCAGAACAAAAGAGCTAGTGCCGACGCCGGAGAAAGGCAGCTTGTCAGAAAAGTTAGTTTGGCAACTGTTTGAAAAATGATGAAGAAGAAGCAAAGATCATAGGCTCTTAGTCCTAATACACCACTGCCCAACAAAATGGTGGCTTATCATTCACAGAGATAAATAGGAAGTGTCAGAAGTTGGATGAAACCCTGGACACTTCCATTTTTGTGAGGCCTCCAGTATATTATAAACCAATGCTAAACAGACCCTGCCTTTCTCTTGGTGTCGACTGTTTACATGATTGGCTCTCAGACACGCAGTGCCCCCCCTTGCTACAGAAAATAACAGAGCATCAAGGCAAAAGGAGGGCTATTGCTCGTTGTGAAGGTTCTGAAAACAAGGTAAGGTAGACTGGAAAGTGTGGCATGGGTGATGACATCAAGTTTTCACATGTTCTATTTGGGAATACATTGCTAAGGTGGTACAAAATTAAGGGAGCCAACGAACAATCTTCTCTCCTTGATCCATGCTAAACAAGAAATAGGAGGACAGTTAGACTGCCTTATAAACTGAAAAAATATCCTAAACTGAATATTTCACAATGCCTTGTATTATTTATGAGCGATTTCTTTTTCTCTATCAGTTGATTTTTTTTAAAGAGGATGTATTTTCTTCTGATTTGTAATGCTACACATGCATTAGCTTTAATGGAACTTGTAACTATTGCTGGATTTTGTGCTCTGCTTTGATTATTAAAACCAATCTCCTCATCTTAACAGCTTCATAATAAACAATAAGGACACCTTTTTTAGCAATGCTACTCGAAGCAGGATAGTCTATCACATGCTGGAGCGCACCAAATATGAAAATGGAATATCAAAAGTGGGTAAGAACTTTAATGTTAAACGTAGAGAAATGGAGTTTGCCAATAGTGCTGATATCCCAAATTATCTTCTTTAACAACTGAAGTTTTGCCTTCATTCTTTAAATATGAATATATAACACATTGAACACAAACTCTACAAACGTCCTGTTTTGAAGCTGTTCAATAAAACAAACTAAAAAAAAAAACTTTTTTGAAGGCATTTGACAATATATATCAAACTGGGCAATATGTAAACTCTTTGGAACAGAAAATTTATTTTTTGAAATTTATCCCGAAGGGATAATCAGACTTTTTAATGGGATATATATAGAAATTGGCTCATTGTGACTTTGTAACAATAAAACTGGAAATACCTAAAATTTCTATCATTGGGTCCTGACCAATTAGTTAGGTTTTGTCCATATAGTACATCCATTAAAAATTATGTGACATTTGTTCTTGCTTCTTTTAACACAAATTTGTCTTACATCTATTATGTGCTATATATTATTAAAAGTATATGACATAGACCTTTTACTCATGAAGACTGAAAATTAACTATTAGTTTGCTGTTTATTGACTTCAAAAGATAATCACGAACTATAAATCTAATGTAATTTCATTTCCTAAACAAACATACCTAAAAAGAAAAAAAAATCTAGAAGAATGTGTAAGAAACTTTTTAGAGGTTATCTATGAAAGGTGAAATAATAGCTAATTTTGACTTTCTAAGTATCTGTGTTGTTTGAATGTGTAGCAGTGGGCTGCAAAATACAAAGATAAGTGAAAGTATTTTATCTAAAATAAATAAATAAATAAATAAATAGTTAATTCTAGGGGTGAAAACTACAAGACTCCTGGAGAGATCAAATGCTAACCATGTCCTAGAATACTTGAAAATAAAGTGTTGACAGCTTATACACCAAGCTCTGCTAATCTTATTCAAATGAGTGCCACATAGAAAAATGAAATGTGTTTCATGCCAGCCATTTTGAAAAGAGGAAGCTTCAGATTGCTTTGCTATTCTGTTTAGTAATTAGTTTATTACTGCGCATTCAAAATAGTTACCCTAGATACCAAAATCCTACCAAAAATAAATAAATTTAGTAAAGATTTTTTTTAAGTAGAGAAATCCAGAATGTAAACTGAAAACCTATAAAAATGATAGTTCTATATGCTTTTGAAGTCTTTAAAAATAGACATTTTAAATCATTGTTAAGTATCATGCCCTTTGCAGACAATATAATAAACACCAAAGAGTTAAAAATAAAATAAAAATTATTGCTAACTGCAATTGTCACTACTAGAAATCAGTACTACCTATCTATTAGAATTAGAATTATGTAGCATTTACAATTTTTTATATTTTAAAAATTACCATTGTGAGTACTTTCTCAAGCCCTTAATTACTGTTTCAAAACATTATTGTTAATATTTCTATAATATTCTATAATGGACTTCACCAAATCACAATTATTACTAAGCACCTAGTATATTTGATTGTATTATAAAAATTAAATGATTCCTCAGTTTTGGATATACAATTATTTTTAATTTTTTTCTTTTTACTACAACAAATAATATTGTAACAATTGCTCTCTCAGTATTTATCCTTACCAGGACTATATGAGTATGTCCATTTTACTACACTCTTACTAGATGAAGGAGGTTTTAACGTGTCTCATATTGCTGTTATGCTTCTCTGACAGTATTAAACGGTTAAATATTCCTCAATGCTGATATCCTTTTGAGATTTTTGTGGGGGAGTAGCATTCCTCTTCTTTCTTGACTACACTTCGTTGTTTTGAAGGAAAAGAAAGTTTGCTTCTGGCTCATGTGATCTAAAATATTAATTGAGTAATATTAATCGAATATTGGGTGAATATCAAAATGAACCGTAGTTCATGACATGGCAAAGTCAAGTCATGTGTTAGCATCTTGCAAATCTCCATTTACCAGGAGACACCACTAGACACAGTATCACTCTCACATATCACTCTCACTGTATCACTTTCATGTTCTTGTAGGCAGTGTAGCTATGGAAGTCACTGTGGTGGTTTTAACTTTTTTCCTTTAATCAATTCATTGTCCCAAGTACATTTATGTTAATTTAGAGGGAATTTTTTAACTGAAACTAACTCAAGGATTGTCCTTTTCTTCTCTTTCCAGGTATTCGTAAGCTTATAAACAATGGCTCATATATAGCAGCCTTTCCCCCACATGAGGTAATTCTGAAATACAATTTCCACTTAATAAAAAACGAAGTTTTTTTATGCTTAATGCTTGATCCCATCGTTTTCACTGGAATCTGGCTGCCCACCCCGAGGAGGGCTCAGTCAGCAAGTGGCCCTGGGTCTTGTGACACCCTATCGTCATCTTGGGGCTGCACACTGATTCCTGTGTTCCAAAGCCCTTCTGTGGTTTGTCCCACACCAGCTCTCTCAGGAACACGCCTGGACACTTGGCCGGCTGCTACTGCTGCTCCAGGACAGAGCTCCGTGCTTGATCCAGCTTGAGATTCACACCACTCCAAACAGTACAGATTCCTGGGTTGTGCCTCCTGTTTTGGGGTACCTGAAAATCTAAAACAAGCCCCCAACAAAAGTCTATATCCCATTAGCTTCCAGATTACCTGCGACATTATTATCTCTCCACCAGTTTTAAGTAGAAGTGGCTGCTCTAAGCTGGGTCCTGCCCATCTTGAATGATTTCCTTTTTTTTTTTTTGAGTTGGAGTCTCACTCTGTCGCCCAGACTGGAGTGCAGTGGCCACTCCCGGCCACCGCAGCCTCGCCTGCTGGGCTCCGGCGATCCTTCCGCCTCAGCTTTCCGAGTAGCCGGAATTATAGCATGCGCTACCACACTCGGCTGATTTTTTTGATTTATTGTAGAGATGAGGTCTCGTCAAGTTGCCCAGGCAGGTCTCGAACCCGCGGGCTCAGGCAATCCACTCACCTCAGCCTCCCAAAGGCTCGGATTACAGGCTGAGCCGCAGAGCCCGGCCTTGAATTGATGTTTGACTCAATCTTACTTCTCTCCTCCCCCTTGTATCCTTGACTTCTTTAAGACTGTTTCACATTATAAAATTAGATTGGCGTTTTCAAAGGTTTCACATGTGAACTTTTATTTTTTTATGACTAAATTCTGATTTATTAGTAGTTCAGATTTGTTATATTTTAAAGATAGAATGTCATTATTATTATTATTATTATTATTATTATTTTGATTTGGAGTCTCATGCTGTCGCCCAGACTGGAGTGCAGTGGCCACTCCCGGCCACCGCAGCCTCGACCTGATGGGCTCCAGCGATCCTTCCGCCTCAGCCTTCCAAGTAGCCGGAATTACAGGCATGCGCTACCACACTCGGCTGATTTTTTTGATTTATTGTAGAGATGAGGTCTCGTCAAGTTGCCCAGGCAGGTCTCGAACCCACCGGCTCAGGCAATCCACTCACCTCAGCCTCCCAAAGGTGCAGAATTACAGGCTGAGCCACCGATCTCTGCTATTATTATTATTTTAAAGATGTGAGGTACAATTCAAGGTTAGATACATAAGTGGTCATTGTACAGGTAAAGTTACGGTACCCTTATTAATGTTATGTTTCCCCCCCCCCCCCCCCCCGGTAGTGTCCCACTGCTACCAATCCCTTTCTTACAGGATTATGATAAATGTTCAGGGTCGACTTATGAGTGAGTATATACTTGGTGATTTATCACAGAAATACTTGTGAACTTTTAAAAACCGTCACTGTCCTATTCATAATGTCAAGACTAAAGACACAGGACATGATACTTGGGGAATTTGCCTTCTGGCATAACTAATAGTAGGTAAAATGTATTATTTCCTTTGGCAATGAGATGAATTTGTTTATGGATTATCTAATTTAATATTTGCAACAGCCTTTAAAATAGACAGTAATATTACATTTGTTTTATGCACAGGTAACTGAGATACAGAAAAATTAAGCATGTAATGCACAGTTTTGACCCCCCAAACGAGCCCTCAGTGTTTATATTATTTTGGCATACCTACGAATACTAAGAATAGAAATCATAATAACAGGCAGCATATTTGTGTGTTTCATGTGTCAGGTGCTGTTGTATGTATTTTCTCATTATTCTGAAAATAATAATTTACCCTGAGGAAGTAAATATTATTATTTTTATTTTAGAATCAAAGAAACAAAGCTCAGAGAAATTAAGCACCATGTCAAATACCACATAGTCAGAAGGTCATAATGGCCTCAGAGTAGCCAACCTATGACCCCTAGGAGAACCACTGTAGCAAAGGAAAGTTTGTTTTGTTCTCTGTGTAGGCAATTATCTCAAAACAATTAGGCTGTGTTCTGACAGTTAATTTGACAACTTCTTGTGTAAAATTTAGGACTTATTATAAATAGGCTGTAAATAATGGTCATTTTCACATTTGTGCTTGTAATTTAGTTGAAATATTAATATACAGAACATATACATAAAAAGAAAATGATATTGTTGAAATATAGGTAAGTAAAGTAGAAAGTCAATAAAATGGGCTCAGGAATTTTTTAGGAATTTTAAATGCTACTACTTGAGGACAGAAAAATGAGGCCTACTAAGAGGAAAATTAAGTCAATAACATTGGCTGTCATTTGAATAAGGACACCTCACAACGTATTGCTTCCTTCTTCATCTTCCTTGATAGAAGAGTCGAGACAAGTGCTAATATTATGTTTTTTAACCTTAGTTGAGTTTTGTTTTTTACTTACAAAAAATACAATGGCTGGAGAAGAAAGAAAGAAATTTCCAGTGAAATTTGTCATAGAAAGAAAAAAGAGCGGAATTAAGAATAGATAGATGAATAGATGATAGACTGATAGATGAATGGATACATAGATGGATAGATGAATAGATACACATATACACACATAAGAAAATGTTTGCCCAAGATATTGATAGAATTAAAAACGGAACACGTTTCTTAATAAGGCACTCTACACAATATATGATTCAAAAATTGTAACCCATATGGCAGATTGTTAGAGAAAAATATAAAGAATTTGAAAAAAGTTCTTTAATGCTTAGAATATCTTCTCTAAAGTAAATGTGACTGGCACTGGCAGTTGAGGTCTCTTTTACTTTTTTTTTTTTTTTTTTTTTGAGTTGGAGTCTCACTCTGTCGCCCAGACTGGAGTGCAGCGGCCGCTCCCGGCCACTGCAGCCTCGAGCTGCTGGGCTCCGCGATCCTTCCGCCTCAGCCTTCCGAGTAGCCGGAATTACAGGCGCGCGCTACCATGCCCGGCTGATTTTTTGATTTATTGTAGAGATGAGGTCTCGCTGCCCAGGCGGGTCTCAAACCCGCGGGCTCAGGCAATACACTCACCTCAGGCTCCCAAAGGCGCGGGATTACAGGCTGAGCCACCGAACCCGGCTTCTTTTACTTTTGAATGAGCACTTACCCTCCTCCTTACCTTATGGAAATCAAATAAACTTTTTTTTTTTTCAGAAAGCAGGATTTATTGAGCAGACCGAAAAGTTTCCACAGTGGGAGGGGACCCGAAGTGTTTGCCCTTACCTTCCGAAATAAAGATTACAACAATTTCTATCAATTATGGCAAAGGCATTGTGTTTACTAAAATACCTTTCGTTCCAAACAACGATGCCTAAAGTCTAGTTTACTTTAAGTTAAAGAGGTCCCATTGGTTTTTTTAAAAAAGTAATTTAATAAAGTATTTTAAGGAACTATCAGAACATTTTCAATGAAAGAGAGATATCTAAAGGTATCTCTCACATCATTCCAGTAATGGGCTTGTTTAACATTTCTGAAGAATTTAATAAACTGCTCAGTTATTCTGTAAGGAAAAAAATGTTCTTATTTAGTTGAAATTTCACTATGAAATTTCACTATGAATTTACTTCACTTTGTTTCAGGGAGCCTACAAGAGTAGTCAGCCCATCAAAACCCACGGACCTCAGAATAACAGACACCTGTTATACGAGCGCTGGGCACGCTGGGGAATGTGGTATAAGCATCAACCTCTGGATTTAATCAGGTACTGCTACTGGGTCAATAGTGGAAGGCAGAGTACGCTGTCTGGTTGTCATTTTCTGAGACGTGAAATTATCTCTTGTACTCACTACCCACCAAATTGTATTAGTGTGGATGCCCTCTACAAAAAAAGCAACCACTATAGGATTTTTCAATAAAAGGAAGGAATTGGTTAGACAGGGGATGGGAGAACTGAGAAATCAAACAGGACTTGTAAGGCAGTCAGAGATGAGCAACAGCAGAAAACTACTCACACCCCTCAAGGTGAAGGAGAAAACGGAATGAAATGTAGTATCAGAGCCCAGTTCCTGGACCACTGGCAGTACCTACACCATGGCTGGGACTGCCTGCAGAGAGGTGAAAGGGGGTATGTGGGGGGAGCCATGGGAAGGCAGAGTCATTCTGCAGACAACCCTGAGAAGGACAAAGAGAGGGAAAAGATCCTGGGTTATCTCTTCCTTCCACCTTCCAATCTTCCTCCTGGCCCAACTTAACCAGAAGTAATTTACAAGAACGCCTGGGCAATCTACTTCCTTGTCAAAAATCAAAATTAAAAAAAATCTCATCAAAGAATAAAGAGGAGGATGATCAACACGGCAGCTATGTATCTATTTGTCATTTATTAAAAATCTATTCCAGGAAGAATTTTCTAAAATAACTGCCTCCAACTCAAATTGATCCTGAGGGACATACCTCATCAACAAAGATACCTGCATACTCAGTGTTTATATACCTAGCCCTGAATTGTACCCATTTTTATAATTTAAAAAAATGGTTCTGAAATACTATCTTCATGACTTATACTGTTTATTTTGATGGAGAATAATTTGTTCTTTCTTTTGAAATCATGAGTTATATATCAATGAAAATTTAAGCAGGACCCTAATAAGCTATAAATATTTATAGAATGAAAGAAAAAGGGACCATTCATAAAATTAGATTCTATGTGTTGATATTTTAAACTGTTTATGAAATATAAAATCAAGAATATCTCAGTCAGTTCCCCAGTAGAAAACTGATTGAACAGTGAAAGGGGTGCTTAAAGAGAATATAATAAAAGAACTATACACAAAAATGTAAGCCAGGATCAAAAGAATGTACAAATCATGGCGGAGCTCCCAGAGACTAGCAAAACCTGAAAGTCGTTATCACACTTAGGCATGAAGGACCAAAGAAAGGAAGCGACCGGCAGAACTGGTCAAAATCTGTAACCAGGGTTGCACCAGACACAAAGCTATGACTTAGGCAAAAAGCAGGTACAACCAAACCATGGCCAAAGAAGGAGGTAGATGATAATAAACACTCCAACATCCCTGTTATCTTATCCTGTGATGTCCTGCTGGTACTTTCAATTGGCCAGCAAGCCCATCAGGAAGCCAGACAAAGAAAAAAGCATACAAGATCCGACAATTAAGTTCGTAAGCCAACTTAGGAAAACTGTTACATACCTCATTGCTGAATATCACTCTGGTCACCTTTGCCCTACTCCCCTTGAGAGGCTATACACCAATGCTAGTGCCTAGTCCATTCCTCAAAGCAATTTTGGACCTCTTTTTCTGGAATGGCCATCCAAGCCATCATCATATTATCCTTGATGCTCTGAATGTCATCAAATGTCCTCCTTTCAATATTTCTTTAATCTTCGGATAAAGAAAAAAGTCACTGGGGCTCAGATCAAGTGAGTAGGGAGGGTGTTGCAATACAGTTATTTGTATAATGCTGCCAACTTAAGCACACGGTGGCAAGTTTGTGGACTTCACTGTCAGACTTCAACAAATAACGATGACACCTCTGATGGCCATTCCAGAAGAAGAGTTCCAAAACTGCTTTGGCCAGAGGGCTAGGCACTGGGGTCACTGCACAATTTCCCAAGTGGAGTACTTCAAAGGTGACCATGGTAATATTCAGCAATGAGGTATGTAACAGTTTTTCTAGGATGATTTGTGAACCTATTGTCAGACTTCATAGGTTATGCAGTCCATAAAGATGAACTTCGTAGTGCCTGTAGCAGAAAGGAAAAGAGTAGACTAGGGACCTGGAGGTACAAAGGATAAAGATCCAGCACCAAACCCTTTGATTTTAAACGTTAAGTACTTGGATATATCCAGAATCAAGATATTGTGATTCTGATTCTGTCAACCAGGACAAATTCTCAGATTTTATTTTACGCAGGTGAAATAATTATTATTTTAGAGATGTATGAACATAGTGATGTTGATGTGCTAGTTCTAAAAACCATATTTATTAGAAATTAAAATGAAGTTAAGATTTCCCAGCAATCATTTCTGTGTCCATAATTACTCTTAACTATTGTACTTCACTTAAGAGAATGTCCTCCAGGCTCATCAGTGCTGCCACAAATGATCAGATTTTCTTCTTTTGTAAAACTAAAAATTGCTGGGGGAGAAGAGGATTGGCAGTAGTGGGATTCTGCTGGTGGGGAGTGGGGCAGGGGGGAGGCACGCTTCTTCAGCAAGGGTGCCTGCGTAATGAACATTTGCATACTTAACCCTCAATTGTACCCCACATCTTTAAAATAAAAAATGTTAATAAAAAAATAAAACTAATAGCTTTCCATCGTATATAAAATTTTCTTTATCTATCTGGCACAGAAAAACAAACATTGCATAATCTCAAGTACATGTAGAATCTAAAAAAGCTGAACTCATGGAAGCAGAGAATAATGGTGATTACCAGGGCTAAGGATCAGGAAGAGTCAGTGATTGAGAAGATGTTGGTCAAAAGACACAAAAATTTCTATTAGATAGGAGGAATAAGTTCAAGAGAACTATTGTACGAGGTAGTGACTATGATTAATAATAGGTCTCTGTTCTTACCATAAGAAATGATTAATGTGTGAGATAATACATATGGTAATTAGCTTGACTTAGCTATTTCCCAGTATATACATATTTCACAAATGCATGCACATTACATATATGTATATGTGTGTGTGTATATATTTTTATACACCCTTTGTTAATACAATAGATAAAAAGGAAAAAAGTACTCATCAATAGAAGACATTACCATTGCTGCTTCAGGTGATTTAGGAAGCAGTCTTTATAGTCTTTTATTTTTTAATTTTTATTTTAAAGATGGGTACAATTCAAGATTAGATATACAAATGGTCATTGTACAGGTAAAGTTTGGGCCTCCCCTTGGTCTCCCCTCACCTGGTTTGAGATCAGGTACCCTTATTGATGAAGTGTACCCTACCCCTCCCTCCCCTGGCAGTTTCCCGCTACTGCTAATCCCTTTCTTATAGTATTATGATAATTGTTCAGGGTCCGCTTATGAGTGAGAACATGTGGGACTCAGTTTTTTGTTTTTGTGACAGATCGCTGAGTATGATAGACTCTACATGCATCCAAGTTGCTGTGAAGTTCATTATTTTGTCCTTATTTATGGCTGCATAATATTCCATCATGTATATGTACCTCATTTTTTAAATCAAGTCCACTTTTAACCAGCAGAACGGTTGGTCCCATGTTTTTGCTATCGTGAATAATGCTGCAGGAAACATTCGTGTGCAGGTATCTTTTTCATAGAGTGGTTTGAATTCCTCTGGGTATATTCCCAGAAGGGGAATTGCTGGGTCACATGGAAGGTCAATTTTTAGGATCGCCACACCGTTTTCCACAGAGGTTGTACTGGTTTACATTCCTACTAACAGTATAGAAGTATTTCCTCTTCAACCTACATCCTCTCCAGCTTCTGTTGTTTTTTGAGTTATTGATGATGGCCATCCTGACTGGAGTTTGGCAGTATCTCAGCGTGGTTTCAATTTGCATTTTTTTTAATGATATGTGAGGCTGAGCATTTTTTCATGTATCTTTTGGCTGCTCATATGTCTTCTTTTGAGAAGTGTCTATTCATATCTTTTACCCACCTTTTAATAGGGCTGTGGGGTTTTTGTTTGTTTGTTTGTTTTTCTCTTTTCGGCACATTTGAGTTCCTTGTAAAAGAAGTATTCAGCTACTCTTATCGATTACTTGGCTGCTGAAACAGAAGATTTTTTTTTTTTTTTTGATTTGGAGTCTCACTCTGTTGCCCAGACTGGAGTGCAGTGGCTGCTCCCAGCCACCGCAGCCTCGACCTGCTGGGCTCCGATGATCCTTCCACCTCAGCCTTCCAAGTAGCGGGAATTACAGGCATGCGCTACCATGCCCGGCTGATTTTTTTGATTTATTGTAGAGATGAGGTCTCACTGCCCAGGCGGGTCTCGAACCCGTGGCCTCAGGCAATCCACTCACCTCAGCCTCCCAAAGGCGTGGGATTACAGGCTGAGCCACTGAGCCCGGCTAGATTTTTTTTTTTTTTAATGAAAATCATAAACTTGTCTTTAAGTGGCTAAGGGAGGGAGGGTGTGGTGAATGATACACCTAAAGCAAAGTTTATAAAAGATTATAGAAGGCATTTTGCAGGTTTCTACTCTCCAGAAAATTACTTGTTACCAAAACTGAGCTGGTGACAAGGCAGACATGCATACTAAAATGCACAGAATTTCTACAGGGCCCAGTTTTCTACAGCCAGCACGAATATTGTCTTAAAAATCTGTGACTAATTATTTTGAGTAAGTTGTTCTTAAAACCACACAATTTTGATGATGTAAGTCTGTTATTGTGCTGCTTCTTGTCTGTAGTAAGAGGTTGAGGGTATTCAGGAGTTGGACTTTTTTTACATTTTTTTTATCATGGATGATGGAGATGCTCAAGCAAGCCTGATTCTCTCCTGCTGAATAAGGCAGATCCTGAGCAGTAGACGAAAAGTAAGACACAAGAAATTCATTTTTATTTTTATAAATAACCATTTCTCGACATGTATTTGTGGTTCTTCTCATGCTAAAAAAATAAAAATAAACATTTTATAGCCAAGGCTTATGTTAGCTCCAATCTTTGTCATTGTTATTGTGGTTTCATGAAAAATATTTGACACTAGAAAGAGCACATATTTTTAAAAAATCATTGGCTACAGAACTTGCTTAACAAAACATTTTTATGGTAATTTAAAAAAATGTGTCACAGTGGACAACCAAGGAATTTAAATTTAAAAGCAAAGTCACTAAAGGAAATAATTCTCTAGAAAACAATAGATTTCAATGTTTGTTCATTTTATGATTGAAATCATGTCAGCAGCAGAATTCTATCATTAAATGAAATGGAACATTACTATATAAAACAGATAATAAGAGAATGGCTGTGGTTGAAGTGTGATGGAACTTACAGCAGCACCGACTCCTACTTCCTCCTTGCTCTGTTGTGGTTTTGATCCACCTCTACAAAACACTTAGGAATCCTAGAAGATTGTGAACCCACATGCTCTCAGTCAGGGGTGTCCCACCTTTTGACTTCCCTGGGCTGCATTGAGTAAAGAGGAATTGTCTCGGGCCGCACATAAATTACCTAATATAGTTGGTATCTATATTTAATAAGAAGTGTTTTTATTTTTTATTATTAAGTTTAGAAAATTGAGAACAATGGAAAACTAGTGGGACCTTGGCCTTGTTTTTGTAAAACTAACTTATCAACATCTGGTTCAAAGGGCGTGGTCGCGATTCTTAGTGATTTCTCAAGGTACTCATCAGAAATGTTTGTTCGAATTTTGTCCTTCATGAGCTTCACAATTGAAAACACCCGCTCATAAATGTATGCACTGCCAAAAAGCAGTGTCATGAATAAGGCATGACGGTGAACTTCAAAATTGGAGCTACTAATGGGATCATGAAGAAAATAAAACTAAAAACACAAAGATTTTGTGGGGCCACATCCCTAGCTGTCCTGGGCTGGATGCAGCCTACAGGCCATGGGTTGGACATGTCTTCTTGAAAGCAAGGGCATCTTCATTAGCCTCCTTTGCCTGACACTAGTTCTTCTCCTGAAACAGATCTGAAATCTACTTTTGCTTATACTTCAGTTATATACTATTGTCACTTCTCTTAACCTTCACAATATGTAATAGGAAGCATTAGTATGATACTGTCTATATCAGCTGTATTGTCTGTACAGTCTCTCTCATCGTTATTATAAAGGTACTCTATTATGTTAGTACCATGTGCTAACCACTCTGCTCTGTTCCACAGAGGAACACTTGCTCAAGGGAACAAATGGCTTTATTGTAATACCTGTCAGTATAATAAGCCTCTGTCTCAAAGCAGAACATTATCATTGTATAAGAAGTGAATAGTCTACCGATCTGTTTCCTAGGAGACACAAATAAAAAGGAAAAGAATGGATACACAATGCTTAACAGAGGATGACTCCCGGTCTTCACCCAGTAGAAAATATACAAAATTGAATTGGCACAATACAGAGAATAAAATAGAAAGAGAAGAGTTTTCAGAAAGAGAAGACTTGTTAAGGAAAAATTACTAGAGAATTTTCTTAGCAAGACTCACTGCTCAGTGCAATTTTCCCAAAAAGCAGCAATCTTTTCAGGAACAATTCTGGGTTAAGTAATCATCTTTAGAAGATGGGAACAAATGGTCATAGGGAAGTAAAGAAGTCATCATGTCTTACTGGGCCCTTACAAACTGTGAAGCCAGTTAGTATTAGCAGTAGGCTAGAGAAAGAAAGAGCAACTGAGTAGTAATCAGAATTGCCTTATTCGTCTGCCATTTCCGTTTAAACGATGTTCATCAGCTGAAGGGTGGTAAAATGTGTTCATTCTCTTAGCTTCAGTCAGTACTTCCTGTGGTGAGCCCTAGTGTAGTGACAGCCAGGTTTGCCTTCAAAGCAGCTTACAGTCTTATGGGGAGGGAGAGGAATGGAAGAGTGAAAGGGAGTTGCTACAAAGTGTAAATGTCGGGCACGGAAACACAAGTGAAGGCAATGTGGGAGCAAGAGCAGTGGCCTTTGTAAGCAGGGTCAGGGTCAGAATGGAAGTCAGGGAAGGCCTCCTGGAAGAAGAGGTAAAGTGAAGGATGAGTACAAGTCAGACAAAGGAAGAGGATAAAGGTGTATGTGTATGCTTTTGTTCTGTTTTGCTTTGTTTTGTTTTGTTTTGAGTATTCCAAAGCAAAGCAACACATTAACCAGGGTAAGTATTGTGTGTTTCAGAAACTGTGGAGTTGAGCTTGGTGGAGAAAGATGTGACACAGTGGTACAGACTGTGTCTAGCCTGAGGGTGACTGACCAAGGAGGCAGATGGAGACAAAAGCCTAACCTGCTGTCGGCAGCCACCCAGAGGGAAGACCTCTTTTTTTTTTTTTTTTTTTTTGAGTTGGAGTCCCACTCTGTCGCCCAGACTGGAGTGCAGTGGCCGCTCCCGGCCACCGCAGCCTCGACCTGCTGGGCTCTGGCGATCCTTCCGCCTCAGCCTTCCAAGTAGCCGGAATTACAGGCATGCGCTACTACGCCCAGCTAATTTTTTGATTTATTGTAGAGATGAGGTCTCACTGCCCAGGCGGGTCTCGAACCCGCAGGCTCAGGCAATCCACTCACCTCAGCCTCCCAAAGGCGCGGGATTACAGGCTGAGCCCCCGAGCCCGGCTTAGACCTCTTTCTAATATGCACAGGGCAATATGACTTAGAGCAGCTCCATCATGTGAAGAAGAGAGGGATACCACTAGAAGGATGGAGAAAGGAAATAATTGGGTGAATAAGAAGCTTTATGAGCTGTATGAAGTCTGGCATGGACATAAATACATTTGACAAAATTGCCCCTATAATGAAAAGGTTTAAAATGAACAATGTTACCATTGTTGAATTCATTAACAAGCTAGAGTATGAGAGACCCTAGACGGAACTGAAGAGGAACTGAGCTGGTGGCTTCAAGTTTCCGTGTGGAATTCTGACTGGTGTGACATCGATTTTTGTAATAGTGCCATGTTGCCTTAACTCAGTCTAGGGATTTGCTTTCTCATACAGGTTGTATTTTGGTGAGAAGATTGGACTCTACTTTGCTTGGCTGGGATGGTACACTGGAATGCTGATTCCCGCAGCAATTGTTGGCTTGTGTGTTTTCTTCTATGGATTATTTACAATGAATAAAAGTCAAGTAAGGTAAGCTTTTAAAAGACTTATTTAACATGTTAGCCTACCTTCTCAGTGGGCAAAAACCTAATGATAATGTCAACTAGTAAAAAAAGATTGAAGATATAAAAATTTATTTCCTTTTTTTTTGGTAAGATGGGAGCACTATTTTAAAAAGTACTATTTTGATAGTTTTATGTGCTAAATCTATTGGACAAGTTCTAAGACTTTTTATCTTTATATCAAATTTCTGTTTCCGGTATATGCCACATAATCATTTAAAATAATTTAAAAATTCATATAATCTACATTTGTGTAGTATCTGGTAGTCTAGAATACCCTTTCAATATATTACTAGTTCAAATAGCTGCGAGATTGAAACAATTTGCAGAGCACGTCCAGATACATTGTTTCATTTACTATAACCTGTACTGTCACCCTTGGAGATGCATATTCCTTCCTGTACCTGAGGGAAACTAACATACTTAAAAGAAGAGATCTAGACCAGACATTGGTACCACCTAAACCCTCCTCTAAGCAGTCTCTTCTTCTCCCTTGAGAGTATAAAATACAAAATGTCTTTACCCTGGAGAGGAGCAGATACTTGTAACATTTTTTAGCATCAACTTAAGATATGGAGATGGTAGTGAAACAGGATTTAATGATAGTCAAATGGATATCAAAATGACAATTCTTCTTTTAAAGTTGAAGTGACTCAAGATTTGGAAATAGGAACAATGCATTATTAGAGTCACTCTAGCACTAAAGAGTCCTCTTCTATTTATACCACATGTATATTATTGAGTTCAACTTTGTACGATCAAACTCAAAATATGCAAAAGTATCACTCGCCTCTCTTTGAAAGTTCAGCACTTTCTTCTCTATCAGTTCATCTTTAACCAGGGCCTTGCTACTGGCTAATAATCATGACAGCTAACTCTAAGGTTATCTTCTACATGGGATCGTAAAGATTAATTTCCCCAAATTTTCTTTTAAAAATACAATATGCTTTTGTATATGTGCATATATTTACAGTCATTTTGCCTACAATCAAAATACCTTCATTGCCCTAGAGTTGGAGGCTGTTCAATAACCAATTTCCTTGATTTGGTGTCTCAGATTTCCTTGTTCTTCCTGAGGGAGACAAATGATAATTAGCATGAAAAGAAATACCTGCTGCTCAGAAGCATTTCTTCTAGTCACAGGTTTATTTCAGAGTTTTGCCAACTCACTACCATTCTGGAAGGCAGCATCTTCCTGAAAAAACTTCTTCCCAGTGAGAGGGCTTGTTCTCCTTTTGGGCATTTCCCTGTAGCCTGGTGTCAACCTGAGACTTGGGTGGGGGTGGGGGGAATGAGGGAGGTTGTGATTTAGAGTGATAGTCTCTTGAAAAGGAAAACACTCCTTTACAATGAATTCACACACAAAAAAATGATTCTTTGACAGTTACTGTTCAAGTTCATTCCATGGAAAACATATTAACAAAGTTTTACCATGTGATATAGACTCCACCACTACAAAGCTGAAAATGAGCAAAAACGAATGAAAGGAATAGATTTGCTATTTCTATTGATTTATGCACCAATGGGATAAATTAGGCTCCTTTTGTATGAGCTAAGTATTATTTAACCTTTCGTGTGAAGAGTATTTTAAAAGGCATTAGCAAACTCTTTTCTTCAGTGTTATATGGTATTATATTACTCCCACTTCTGTCACATTATAATTAAGATGCTGTCAGACTTTCTATTCTGAACCAAGATAAGCAGCACTGAATATCCTGACTTTCAAAATTTTGAGACTAAAATTTTCCATTCAAGGTGTCAGGCACGGTTGAGTTGTAGGTGGGTGGGAAAAGGAGAGCAAACTTTTATTTTGTTTGGATTTATGTTTGTATTATTTTTATTAAGCTCTTTTTTTATATAATCGCAGGGTAGAAAATGTTTAAAAGCTGTAGATGTGGGTCTATTCATTATGTTTCTACCAGCTACGTGCAACTAAGCTAAGATCATATTTTTTAATTATAGGTGTACTTAATAATAGACGTACACTACAATCAAGTTTTAGGCTATGTATGTATACATGCATGTGCACATTGGTCTCACATAGTAAAAGGTGGTCAGATCTGTGCTCGAGATGACTCAGGAATTTGAAAATGAACAAGCAGGTGCATGTAGCCTATTTTCCAGATCCTCAGATTTAGAACCAAGAGCAGAAACCTCAAGTCTCAGTTCTATTCTTGCCTTTTCGTGTCAGAGCTCACCTAGAAATGTATGTAGTTCTCAGTATCAGCCAGCTTTTAAAAAGCTGTTACTTTTTAAAAGTTCTCTCAAGCCATCTCCTGACACTGCCCTTAGCAAAAAGAGTTTCCTCCATTTATCACGTGCCTGTGATAGGCCAGGTGCATTATCAGTATTCTTTTATTTTATTTATTTATTTATTTATTTTGAGTTGGAGTCTCACTCTGTTGCCCAGACTGGAGTGCAGTGGCTGCTTCCGGCC